TTCTGGAACACACTTAAACGTCCATGAAATGTCCTTAAATCTTTTTAAATCATCTGAAAAACAGAAAAAAAAAATATCAGAATATAAAATCACTTGAAAAATCATCAGATCTTATGGAAGCAACTGAAACATCTTTGAAATTTTGGAATCATTTTTCAAAATACCTGGAAAAATCACTAAAGATTTCTTAAAATGCCCTGATCCCTCCCTGACATATCCTTAAATATCCTTGAATCATCTTAAAACAAACAAACAAACAAACAAATAAATCCTCAAATCAACACCTTTGAATCTCTTGGAATCACTGAGCATTTCTGTAAACATCCCGAACACTTCCTGGAATCTCCTTGAATCACTTCAAATGTATTTAAAACCTGAATAATTATCCTGAAATCTCCGTTAATGGTCTTGAAAAACCAAATCCTGGTGTTTAAACCTCGTTACCTCAGATTATCTGGGGCCTTTTCAAACATGGCCGCCGTCACTTTCAGTTTCCGACCACACCATCGATCGTTCTGCAGATTAGCCGTGAGGCCGTTTAGCTGCTTTGGTACAAAGTCGTGTTTTTCCACTCGTGTCGCTGATGCTTCCTCTCGAGCGCCCCGAATCCTGAAATATTCCAGTGTGTATTTACTGTGTCCAAACTGTGAGCGTGGCCTCAAACTGTCAGAGCTCAGCTTTAACTCGACCGGAGTGACGAGCCGAGCCGTCCGCGGCAGACAGCCTCCGGCGCCGTGATTGGCACGGTGGCATTTTCCCTGAGTGTGGATGTGTGGCGGCGGCGGCGGCGGCGGCGGCGGCGCAGCGCGAGCGTGTAGGAGTGTGTTTTCTAATGAGCTGCATTCAAATCAGCGCAGGCGTTCGTCTATCTCTGCGAGGACCGGATCGACATTCAGAAGAGGGGAAGTGACAGCATGTCGGGCGAAGCGGCTGTTGGAGGTTCAGACTCGTTTGGTTTTCGTTCACGAGACCAGTTTTGCAGAGTCAGGCCGTTCTATAGCGGCTCCACCGGGTAGTCCTGAATAAAACGACCTGGACAGGATCAGCTGATTTTTCATAGACAACAACTTTAGTGTATTTGATGACGTCGTGCAAAGTTTTACCTTCACATGGTGAATGTTTCCAGACCCTTGAAGTGGGCGTCCACAGAGGGTGGCAGCGTGGCCGGAGCACCGCGAGCAGAGCATCGCTGCACGAGGAGGAGATTCAGATGTCAGGGTGAAGGTCAGAGCTCCATCCAGGTGTCACCGTCTGAACACCGCATCTCTTTGTTTCTTGAGCATCAGTCTTATTACTCAACGACAAAACTGCAGCCGTTTAATGGAAAAAAAGTCAGAGAAGGCGATTGTTGTTTGCTTCGTATTATCTTGACAACTACGTGGAAACACGAATAACAACGGCGACATTTAAGAGGACGAACTGGTGACGACGTGTTTGCTTAATAATCAGCAGCTGAACGTTAGATGTTCGTTATTCCGTCATGATCAGTTTGCTTAACGACTGCTTTTGGTGCTTTTAAGTCCAGGACTTGTGCTAACTGCAGCTTGTGCCGCCCGGCTGGTTCGTTTCAAAGCCTGATGTTGTTTTCCATTTTTGTTTTGCGACATTTTCAAAAAATTTACATCAGATTCGTCTCAGAACAACGGTAACATATTAGGGATGTAAATGTTACGACGGCGTGCTGTTTGCACAACATTAATGACTAAACGTTTAGACATTCGTTAAACTAAAACGGGAATTTTTGCGTAATGAGTACTTTTGGTACTTTTCGTACAATTTTTTGTTCACTTTTTTGAAATTCTGAACCAGGTTGGATCGTTGTACAGAGAACAGTCTGACTATATGTAACTGACTGTGTGTGATGTCGCCTGTAGCGCCACCTTCTGATGACACCACGCAGCAAAGGGTGTTTGCTTTAAGGCAGTTATTGGAAACAAGTCTGATTTTCTGTTTTTGCCGCTATTAAAAAAATGTGCTTATATTTTGCCTCAAAACGACAGCAACGTTTCAGGATGTAAATATTGTTTCATCACGTCATCATTACGCAAAATGAAAAACTAAAACATCTACGAACAGATGTGAGTATTTGTGGTACCAACTTTTAAAAGTCTTGAACTTTAAATGCCTTCTGACGACAGTTTCTTGGCTTCAGTGCAGCTAATGAGGACAAAAGTTGCATCTTCAGTATTTTTGCCACGTTTGCTTTGGAGCATTTCGTAAAACGCTGCAACCAGCGACTGCACCGCCGCATAAACCCGGCCGGGAAGCTTCTCACTTACATCTGAATGTGATTTCTAGGAGACAGAGGCTGCAGTGACGGTCCTCACAGAGATAGCAGCACGTATACGTGAGTGTGTGTGTTTGTGGCTGGCGACAGCAGCGCTCCCAGAATTCATTGCACCGCCGAGCGGAGTGACAGCAGAAGCCATTTAAAGCCCCGACGCTGGCACACTCGAGCTGACAGAGTGGCATTTGGAGGCTCCTGTGAGTTGGTGATGTTCCTGAGTGGGATGTGAGGAGGCGAACGGTCACAGTTTGCGTGTCCGCCGATCGCTTTTTAGTAAAATTAGCAAAACTGTTGAACATCGGCGACCCGTTGTGAGTCACCCAGACGGATCGGATCTGGTGTCAGGGAACCTCGGAGTGTTACAACCCAGAAGCTGTGGAGGTGACAGACGCAACGGGAAGCATGAATATAATTTAGAATGACATTAATTGTTTAGAAGACAACGACAGCAGAACAGAACTTTAGCTAATCTGCTTTCCTCTCAGAACCCGATGCTTTGTTCTTCTGACAGTTTCACTTTTGGTTTACGTGACGCTAACAGCTGGAGCCTCAGAACTCGTAGAAATAGAGACGCCTTGATGCGATCTCGGGGCCGATGAAGGGATTTTTAAACTGATCAGCATGAACAAGCCCAATTTATTTTATTTTTATTCTCGTCATCACACAGGTGTGGTTAAGGGAGGGGACGGTCCGTTGCAGGACGCTAGGGGTGCAATCTTTGAATAACTTTCTCAATTAAAAACTGGCAGCTTTATTAGTAATAACTGATGAACTGAATTAACGTCTTTTGAGTCTCCCAGTTCGTCGTAACACACGAGTTCTGGTCGGAGGTCATTAAGAGCCACGGAAGTCTTTGTCATGGTGCCCGTTGCTAGCTAAACCCCCACAATGCTCTCTGCTTGCCAACTGGAACTCCCCATAGTCCAAGTGACCACCTCCTGTGCTTGCAAAAGTAATAATCATTAAGAGTCTCCACCTGGTGGAACAACCAGGTACTGCGGCTGATCTACGATACATTTACTGACATGCATGTAGGAGAATAAAGGAGCTACGGTACACCCTACCCTCTCCACAACACAGTTCACACAGTGTCCTACAGGAGGTTCATGACCACCAACGCACGATTAAGGATCAAGGGGGTACTTGGTGGCAGATGCTAAATACTAGGATCGTATTGGGGTAAAATAAACTTGATTGGAACATCGACTTTAAATATTTAAAGATGAATAGCTTCCTCTTTTCCTGTCAGCATAACTGGACCGTCAACCGATTCCTCGTAAAAGATGACTTATAAGAAGGGTAGAGTGAGATTCAGGACTTACCTAGCATGGCTTGTCTTCGCTCTGTTTATGTTCAAGACCATTCTTCTGGTGTCTGGCGCTCACTAGGATTTAGATGTCGATGGATCTGTTCTTCTTTTTTCCACCAGACGGTGCGTCCAAACCGACCAGGAAGGAGCTCAGTCTTCGTATGGACCTTGTCAAAGCTAGATCACTGGATTTTTCTGCTAATCGACGTCTTAAACTTGAGTAAATTGACGCAAGCTTTAAGTCGGCTTCTTGCGTCAGAGCGATCACCAGACAGGAGTTTCTTGGTTGACTTGATTAGACCTTAACTGAAGCCCGACTCACTTGTGGAGTCCCTCAAGGCTCAATTTAGGGCCCCATTCCCTTTTCATTATTTCTATGGGGGCCATTTATAAGAAACTAGATTATTTTTCATTGTTTTGCAGAGAATTTACAAATCTGTTTGCCCATTAAAATAAAAAGTCTCAATCTTTTATACTTCTATTGTGATGTTTGTTCGACCAGACCTTCTGGACGACCCCGACTGCACCTTTGGCCTTGAAGCGATGTTGGACAGCTCCTTCTAAACTGACCAACAGATCAGCTACATGGTGAAAATGTCCTTATTAGAGACTTTAAACCCAAAGAGAACACTTATCGCAGTATTACAATTCTTTGTGTTCTCTTCGCCGCCTGCAGCTGCCACAGAAAGCGTCTCCTCGCAGTGAAAAGAAAGTGTGATCACATCACACCAGCGTTGGCCGTCCTCCACTGGCTTTCTGTTTATTTCAGGATTCATTTTAAGACTTTTGCTTTTCGGGTTTTAAATGGGCTGGAGCCTCCTTGTTTGGTAAAACTCTTGCACCGATGTGAGATCCCGGCACTAAACTAGAATCCGAACCTCTTCTTGTTGGCACTGAACACCTTATCTCTGGTTGTGCTGTTTTAGTCGCTGTATTTTATCGTGTTTTAGGGCCAGCTCGTTTAACACGTTGATTAAAGACAAAGGCCTAAAATTTAAGCTGAAAAATCCACATTTTCATTTGAAACGAACAAACTGAACCCTCCAGCAGGACGGACTCATCCAGACGACTCTGGTTTAGGAGAGTTAATATGCAAAAGGCACAACAGATGAAGGCTGATGACTCAAACCGTCACAACCGAACATGAAGCAGTCGGCTTTGAATCACACTTCTAAACCCTTTGAAGAGGTTTTTCTGTCGATTTCATACATTTGCACAGATGAAGTTCATGCTATTATGTAAAATGTGAGTTTGTTGTGAAAGTAGTTTTGGTTTTCAACACATTTCACGGTCGCTGGAGTTTGACCTTTTTAATTAGATATTTTAATGCTAATCAATAAGATCTTGTAAACTGTTTTATATATTTCATGTAAAACCAAAGAACAGCACACTGCGAGGACAACGTCACCAAAGTGTTTTTAATGTTTTTATCTAAAGATACAAACTCCAACACACAAACCACAGCTTTGACTACAGCTGTCATGTCCAACGTAAAGAAGAAAAAGTTCCTCTAAAAAAACAAACAAACAAAAGAAATAAAGAGTTGATTTGATGTTTTTGAATCTTTCTTCGTGAACGTCTGCTTCTTCTCTTTCCGCTCGACAGCTTCAGGCTGAAATGCATCGCAAACAGATTTTTGTGTCTAGAAGTGAAAAACTAGCTACCGTCGTTGGTAGTTAGCAGCGAGCTAGCAGCGAGCTAGCAGTGAGCTAGCAGTGAGCTAGCAGCGAGCTAGCAGCTTGCAGTGAAAACAGAAAACTGAGAGATGTTTTCAGTTGCTTGTAAAGTTTCCAGACTTCAGCCCCTTTGGTGGAAGCTTTGAGCAAACATCTTTTGTTGGCGCGATTCTGGTCGTGGACCCACCATCAACCCCGACCACCTCCCCACCGACTCCAGTGCAGTTCTCGACACACAAGCGTAATTCTAAAAACAAATAGTTGCATATAAATGTGTTTAATATGTCAACGGAAAAGTCTGCTAGCGGGGAATTATGTTTCTGAAACAGCGTCGAAAAACTGATTTTTGGTTTGAGTCGCTGCAGGCTGCGTGTCGCGCTCAAGATGCTGAACGTAGGAAAAAATACAAACAACTTTTATACGCTGGAGAATCAAAATGAAAGGTCAGAAAGCACTAAGAGTTCAGGTGACTTTTGGTGGAGCTTTAGTTTTCTGGTTGTGTGTTTTGTGCGCCCGCCGTCCACCCCGACCACCTCCCCACCGACTCCAACACAAGAAGACCCCATAAACGTGATCTGAAAAAAACTGAATAGTCGCATATGAATGGATGTTCTAGGCGACGCGGTTCTGTTTAGCGTGTTAGCGCCAAGGTTTGCGAGCGGGGAATTAAGTTTTTTAAATTTTATAAGAAAAAATACAAATAATATCCGCTGGCTGGAGAGTCAAGATTAAAGGACAGCCTCTCGGTTTTATAGTTTTGCTTGAGGTTTGTACCAACGTAGAGGCGTTTCGAGGCCCTTCGGACTTCCTTGTGGGGAAATTATTAGAATGAATGATAAACCTTTAGTTCAGACGTTCCAATGCATTGACTCCCTGCTGAGGATCTGCTGAGTGTGTTTGATGCAGGCAGGATGACGCTGTTTCAGAGCAGCTGCTGAGGTCCGGCTGCCGTCAGAAAAAACCTGAACGGCTTCGTTTGGAGGCGTCACGAGCTGCCGGCGGCGCTGGAGGATGTTTTAGGAAATTAAAGGTGACGCACGTCAAATTGGGATGCTTCAGCCTGAAGAGGAGGCAGGACGACGAACTCACGGCGGCATCAAGAGCAGAGCGTGACGTCCGCATTGAAGTCGACACGTTTCCCCCCCGGCGGCGGCGGCGGCGGTGAGACATCACAGCTCCGGGGACGTGACGAAGCTGCGTAACAGCTCCGCCGGCGTGTCTGCATGTAAATATACGTGTGCGTGTTGGTGTGAATCTCCGTGACTCAGTATCGGCCCTGGACGCCCAGCTCGCTCTCGGCGGTGCGTTCGATCTGCTCGTGGACGAGTCGCACCTCCTGCTGAGTCAGCGTTCGCTCCATGTGGCGGTAGATGATGCGGTAACACTGGCTCCGCCTCCCGGTCCTGTCGGAGGGACAAACACAGGGAGAGAGGGGAGTTTGAAAACCTTTATTTACACGATCAAGCAACAAAACGTTCAACACATTAACACACACTCACTCATCCTGTTCATCCTGATGTGAGTTCTTTTCTTTTTACTCTATTTTTTATAACGTCACCTTTTCATGCTAATAGAGAGCCACATTTTTGTGCTAATATTTGGTTCTGAAAGCTAGCATAACGTTTGTTTCATGCTAATGTCAGCTGTTTTTTCTTAATGCTAAGAGTACATTTTTAAAGGTTACAGTAATTTTTGTAATGCTAACATTATCTATTCGAGGGGACCTTTATACCTGTGCTGTCCACTAGCTGTTAAGCTCTGTTCTGTCTTTCTATGCTAACGGTAGCATTCTTTTCATGCTAAGAATACCCATGCTAAAGTCAGGTGTATATGCAGTTTTCTTTTTAGTTAGCCTCTATGCTAACACTAACTTTCATGCAAACACTTCTTGTTTTAAAGTAATATTGTTTTTTTAGGCTAACATTATTTTTTAATGCTAGAATTAGCATTTTAATGTACTTTTTCCAGCTACTTAGGCTAACACAAGCTCTGCTATGCTGGTATGAATGTTTATATGATAGCATCTGTTTTTTGTTTTTTTTTCTAAGGGAACATTAGTTTCAATACCTCGCATTAATTTTGTAATGGGCTGTGTTGTCTGCTAGCTTTATGCTAGCAATACCTTTCTTTTAATGTGGACATTAGCTCAGTCAATGCCAGTGTGATTGGTTTAAGACCATTTGTTTTCTCATGCTAACGTCTTTTATTCTGTTACCATTTAATACCAATGTGTTATTTTTTGCAGACATACATTTTTTAAGGCTAGCTGTTTAAATGCTAACATTAATTACGTGTGGTGGCCTCGCATGTTTTTGGACAAGATCGGTTTTAAGTCACGCTAACATTAGCTTTTTGACTCCCGTCTTCTCCATCCAAAGCCTTTCCTTTCACCTCCTCCAGGTGACGAAGCCACGTACAGAACATTCAAACACAGAAAGCTACGATAACTAAACACACGATATCCTCTCTCTCTCTCTCTCTCTGTGGCTTCATTCATTCTCTATGTCGCTCGCCCTCTCTCTCTCGCGGCAGCTCCTGAATAATTGAACATCAGTACATTTGGAGGAAATGTCACAGAGAGAGTCGGGCTCTAAACGAACCAAGAGACACAAACACAATTACACGTCATATCTGCGCACACACACACACACACACACTCACACACACACACACACACACACACACACACACACACACACACAGGGAGTGAATGGTATTTAATGTGATAGACTGTGTCGTTGCTGAATAATTGATGTCTCCATTATCCAGCCCACATAGCTGCTGGGGAGGGCGGGAGATCGATACGGTGACACCTGTAAACTCTGCACACGTTCACGTATAGACCGATGTGCACGAACACACGCACACACACACACACACACACACACACACACACACACTGCAAAAAAAAACACATGCGATAAATATGCACGCGATACATTATGCATGAAAAATAAGCCTGTGGTTCTCTGTCATACATGCATAAATAAACAGGAATGTACACAACGTCGGTGCAGCGGTGACGGACGGAAAAGAGAGAAACCGAAGCTGCAGCTAACGTGGAGCAAGTTTGTTATATATATGTATGTATATATTTAAATACTAACAGCCTTCTTTTTAAAGTCGTGCCAAATGATTTTAGTGATCAGATGGAAATCAGAGCTTCTGTGACTGTGGCTCCAGCAGCATGAAGGACGGTTTGTAACGTGAGTCTCTATAAATAATGAAAAGGAGCCTGATGAACACAAATAACCACCAAGATGAGTCCGACATGTTTGGTGAGGCCACCACAGTGAATGCATGGTCCTGGCAGCATCATGCTACGGGGCTGAAGCTCATCTGTGAAGAATGACAGAACTTCTGTCCAGACATCTGGGATCCTTCAGAGAAACACAGCTGCAGGAGGCGACCGTACAAACATGTGAGCCTCGGTAGTTACAGGTGCGCTGATTTCTGTCGCAGTGTTTTTAATGTCGTCAATCTAAACCGTTTAATGTCACATCAGAACTCTTCCACTCAGATGGTCTGATTGCTGCCCTCTGATGCCCTCTTAGACCAGCTGACATGTCTGTACGGCGAGTGGCCGCTCAGGCCGGCCGGTTTCCCGCCTCTCAGCGTGAAGCCACAGCGTCTGTGATGAAACCAGAAATATCTGACGGCCGTAATGAAACATGCAGAACCCCCCTGTGAAGCTGCACTCGGAGGTATTTATAGGCGCACACGGACCGAGTCGGAGTCTGTGCAGGAAACAAATTGTCAAGCTTATCCGTTGCAGTTTTGTTTTAATTGGAGCGGCGAGCTATTCGTGGGGCTTTAATTGCTCCAGATGAAAATCCCCGCACTCCGTTTCCAGTCCTTTAACACTTCTTCTTCTTCTTCATCATCGTTCCCTTCAGAGCGGCCCAGTTCCATCCCGCTCGCTGCATGCTAACGAGCTCCACTGATGACCGAGTTAATCGCGTTACCTGAACCGCCGAACACACGCCGTCACGTCGCACACGCTGCTGAAGCAGCTCTTTGAAAACATGCTATCTGTAGCTTTGTAGATGAGCTTCCTGAGGCTGGATGCAAACATCTCCAGCTGCACGTTGAGCCACTCGTTCAGGGATTATTAGAAGAAAAGAGCTAATAGCCCGCCGTGTTAGCGATCGATAGTCAATTAACTGTTGAGATGAAACCGTGGACATTTTTCCAACTGCTGACACTTAATGTTCAGGAAAGACGGACAAAAACATCAGATTCCTGCATTAACAGCTAAATGAGAATAAATAAGCGTAGCTGCAATAAGCTGTATGTCACTGACATCTGATCCACGCCATGAGGTCACTCGTTGCACAAATACTGTTGCAGCAACTTTAACAGTCCAGGAAGTCTGTCAGCAGTCACTGCCACCTCTGAAAATGGATTTATAGTCAGAGCAGAGTGTCGCTGAAACGCTTCCTCGCTTGAGTTTAGAAGGTCCAACATGGAGAACATCCATTTTCCATTTCAGACTCTCTATAGCTCCGCCCCCTCACTGCTTCCAGACGGACCAATCAGAATGAGCAGCTGCCTCTCAGTCCTCCAGGTTTGTTTACTTTCTAGAGCTGCTTCTGCTAAACTCTGAAAGTCTCAGAGTTCATCAAATGTCGGCTGCGAGAGTGAACACAACAGGCTTCATGCACTGCCGGCATCTGCTAGCTGCTAGCGCTAGTGTGGTGAGACTTTCATTAAATTGGTAAAAAACAAAAAAAGGGAACAAAACGGGAGCTTTACCGCCGTTTAACCCGAGTCCTGAGAAAGAGAACCGGAGAGTTTGAATGTTTACGCTCCACCAATCGATGCACAAGGAAAAACCCAAACAACAATCAGGAATAAAACGTCTGCCCTCCTGAACTCGAGCAGGAAATGTTGATTCACCGAAGGGTCGGAGGAGGACAGACAACATGGCCGACCAAAACATTAACAACAACAACAACAACAACAACAAAAAGGCAAAAAACACACAATCGATTTGATGTCAGACTGGAGCAGATGGTGTGATGGAGGAAGCGACGGAGGGATGAAGGGATGAAGCTTCAAACAAGAGTGTAGCGCTGCACCGGCAGGGAGGGCGAGAGACCCTGAAAGTAACTGGAAACAGAGAGAGAGAGAGAGAGAGAGAGAGAGAGAGAGAGAGGATAAGTGGATGATGATGGACGAGCTTGAAAGAAGAGCAGAGCTGGGTTTCATTCAGATGGAGAGGACGAGCCGGGTAGAGAGATGAAGAGATAAAGAGAGCGAGGGATCGATAGTCGGAGGGAGGCGGAGATGAGAGGAAACTACAGCAGCTGCCAACGCCCTTGAAAGCACCGCGCTGCCTTCACATGAGGCCGGGAAAAACCAGGAGATGTGATACTGTAAAAGCCCCGGAGGAGGGAGGAGAGGAGAGGAGGGTGTTTCCTCCCTTCATCTCCTCCCCCCTTCAGATCCTCATCATCGCTCAGTTTGATGCCGATCAGGTTTTTTTTGTTTTTTTTTATCTTCGCCACCTTTTGTTTCTTCAGAGACACGAAACCCCCCCGAGGTTTATCCGACTTCCTCAAACAAATTCCTTCTTCTTCTTGTTTTAAATAAAGAATGTGTGAGCAAACAGGAGCCGAGTCGAGAACAGACGCTCTGCAGGAAGACAGCCGAGCAGCTTCTGTTGCGTCAGCGCGTTTGATGGATGCTCGAGTCTCACGTTGTGGTAAACACCTATTTATTACTCAGCACAGACAGAACAAACTCTAACAGTTATTACGCCGGCAGTTAATTTGTCCTCGCCTGAGAATCCCGAGCTTGATGTCCGACCCTGTCTCCCAGAAATGATCTCCATAAATCACGAGTTTGCATCCCGCTTACAGCAGAAGTGAGACGCCTCCTGTGCAGCGCCGCTCCACTGATTCAGATGTTCTGCAGAACTTCTAAGCTGAGCAGCAGAGCTTTTCCTTTAATGAACTACCGAAAACAAATACTTGAGGAGGCCTATGTTGAAAATTTAGCATCGAGAGCAGAAATAAATGCAACAAAAGCAAAACCTAAAAGTAGACTGAGTCCTGACAGTGAAGCACGGAGGTGGCAGCATCATGACGTGGAGCTGCATGAGGGCAGAAGGTGTTGATGACGTTTATGGATGAATCATGAATGTCTGACCACAAAAACATGCAAAATGACCAACAAGAGACACAAAACAACTGCACAAACGCACAAAGTGACCACAAAAACACCCCCATGAGCCTCTATGGATGGAAGACGAGAACAAAATCTTGCTTTTCAGAACAAATCGTCGAGATGACGTTTGTGGTCCTGACAGTGAAGCACGGAGGTGGCAGCATCATGACGTCAGGCTGTTTGTTGTTGTTGACATTTATTGATGCAACCTGAACGTCAAAACGACTGCCAG